CCCCAAAACCCCAAAACCCCAAAACCCCAAAACCCCAAAACCCCAAAACCCCAATTTGTTTGAACTTTGTTGAATTAAACAAAAAGTAATTTTCGTGAATAATTATCAGTTTCATGTCTTATGTTTAGCAGTGCAAATGTAGCAGAACTCATACTTGCATCTGCAAGTGATGTGGTTGCATCCAGATACTTTCTCAACCCAGTGACCACATTTAGGGCATTGCTTGAAAGGAGTGCCATCTAAGTACTTCTGGAACTGTCTGTCTTCTTCGGGATATCCCTTGTATTTCCTGTACTCTTCACATGAGAAATTCTCATGCCATTCAACTTTACATCTGAGGCAATAACTTTTGTGGCAGAAGAAGCATGTGTAGCTATAGTCCTCTCCATCAGGAGAATGTACAAACTGGTTCTTGCAGTCAGGAGTCAGACAGTTGTAGTACACCTCATCGCTCTGCTCCAAAGAGAGTTTAGTCTCTTCCATCTTTACTTTAGCGTAATCTTGAAAGCTGTTGAGGAACTCTTGGAGCTCCTCATCAGAGATTGTGTGTGCTCAGTTCTCGTCAGGACACTTGATTGGGAACCTAGAGAGATGAAAGAAAAGACTTACACTCTTTCCTCAACCTTAGAATTAATATGTCCTTGGATGCAGTCCTTACAGTATGAGTGAGCACAGTCCATGAAGAGGATCTCTGAGAGCTCGATCTTTTCATAGCAGATACCTCATTCAAGTCTATTATCAACAGGCTCTGGAGGATCCTGTTGGTCTAGCTTTTTATTTCTGGACAGGCATTTCAGGAGCAATTTTGGCATCTTCATTCCCAAAATTCTCTTGCAAAAATGCTGGGTAGACATTGACAGGTTCAAAGTCGTACAAAGGAAGTGCTGGGTTCCTAAACTCACCTAGTTCAGGGTACATCTCACTCCCATTGTTCTGCACTACAGCATTAGGCTGCCTTGCTCTAGCTTCACTTTTTGGACATTTGGCTATAGATTAATAAAATTTTGTTTGCGAATTCCAAAGACAACTTATGATGATAAGGAATTACCTCTGTTAGAGTTTTGTTTATTTGGAGCTTTGGCCTTGACCACTTTGTTCTGGAGACATCTAAGAGAAAGTACTTCATTCAGGTTCTCTTGGGAGTACAAGCGGTCATAAATCTCCAGTCTGTCACCACTTGTGTTTCCCAGCTGGCTTAAGGCTTTCTGGAGTTCTCCAGCGATGCTGACAAAGTTGGGATCTGAGTTTGTAGCTTCAAATTTTGCGTAGTTATATCCAATCAAAAATAGCAGAACAGGATCGTAGTTCTGGAGAGAGGCTATATCGCCGAATATACTCTTGGAGGATGGCTTTGCATTCTTCACTAATTTTTTGGCAGGCTTGTTCATTTGAATGTTGAAAATTATATCTAGACTCAATATTCTTGACTTTATGGGGTTTTGGGGTTTTGGGGTTTTGGGGTTGGGGTTTTGGGGTTTTGGGG